ATATATATATATATATTACAGCAAAATAAATAAATACGAAGAAAATTAGGAAAAGCTATAAGTATCCTTTATTGCGCATTAGCTGCAAGTAAACAGAACTCATTAGATAGGTTCAAAATGAAGATAAAACAAAGGAAAATTACAGACATATGAAAAAAAGGGGGGGGAGAGAAAAAAATAACAAAAAATTAATTATCTTTAAATTTCTAGATTATACTATTTTATTAAATGATATTTACCCCGAGGAATTAATCTTGCTTCGTAATCATGATGATAATATTAATTTCAATTTTCTGGATTTGGATATTATAAAGATGAAAATATCTGCCTTGTTGATTTATACGATAAAATAAATGATTTTAATTTCAATATAAATAAACTAGTTACTTGGAATTCTAATGCTTCTGGGAGCATCTATTTAAACACCACTTTTAATGGAATGAATAGAATTAAAAGAATATGTAGTAATATTTATTTATCCAAAAAACAAATCGATAAACTCTTTCAAAATTTGATAATAAGCAATGGATACCCCATTGAAGTAATAAAATTCTATATAAAATCATTGAATTAATCGTATATTTTTGTGGATATATTTACTAAAAATTTTCTTTGCTAATTTATATAACTTTACCATGTGCAAATCCATTTCGGGTAAATCCATTGCCAAAATTATTTACTAAATAATTTCTTTGTTAATTTATATAATTTTTCCATGTGCAAATCCATTTCGAGCAAATCCGTGGTCAAAATTATTTACTAAAAAATTCCTTTACTAAAAAAATTCCTTTGTTAATTCATATAATTTTTCCATGTGCAAATCCATTTCGGGTCAATCCGTGGCTAGAATTATTTACTAAAAATTTCTTTATTAATTTATAAAATTTTTCCATGTGCAAATCCATATCGGGCAATTCCGTGGCTAAAATTATCTACTAAAATTTTTTTTCTTTGTTAATTTATATAATTTTTCCATGTGCAAATCCATTTCGGGCAAATCCGTGGTTAAAATTATGTGCAAAACAGGCAATTCACGTTTCTCTTTTCTATTTTCTATTTTTTTCTTAAATAAATATTTATTTTCCAAAATTATTTATGGTCAACTTCTTTAAATTATCCAGTATAATATTGCCTTGCACACATCCTTTTCGGGCCCATCCTTGATAACTAACAAATCAAACTCACTTCAGCAATGCAGTAAGAGCGGCACTTTAAAACAAAACTCCTAGTTACGCTCAATTTGCGCTTTTGTTTTCATATTCTGCAATCCGGCAATCTTGTTACGAAAATATTTTTTAAATCATTCTTGAAAAATTTCCCGTTCATGTAAGTACATTTAAATTCGCTACTCACTTTATAGATTTTGTTTTATTCTGTTTTTTCTTTTTATTTCATTTTATTTTCTGTTTTTACGTGTTATTTTTACTTACTGTGTTCGATTTTATTTGCTGTAATTTTTGTCAAAAAATTTTTTGAGTGCTCCTCAAACTATTGTATTAATATAATTTGCTTTGGCTATATTGATACAATATCAGAAAGCACTCTTTCTTGCTGATATAATCGTGTGGGCTGATGAAAAGATTATATCTTTCATTTTCCGGATTTTTAAAATTTTTTTTATCCTTTTCTTTCCCAGTTGTTTGTTACTTTTTTTCTGCCCCCCTTTTTTTTTCTTCATATGTCTGTAATTTTCCTTTGTTTTATCTTCATTTTGAACTTATATATATATATATATAAGGTCCTTGGATNTGTTTACTTGTATTTATTTATTTATTATATATATATATATATATATATATATATAGTTCAAAATGCTTCCAAAAGTTGAAAAAATTACAGAACAATGAAAAAAGGGGAAAAAAAGAAAAATAATAATATAAATAACAAGAAACTGGAAAGAAAAAAAAAGAAAAAATCGGAAAAAAGTGGGAAAAAAATGAATGAAAATCCGGAAAATAAAAGAATCAATGTAGCCAAAGCAAAATATATCAATGCTATATTGTGAGAGGCACTCAAAAAAAATTTATTACAAAAAAATTACATCAAATAAAATAAAACACAATAAGTAAAAATATCAGGTAAAAACAGAAAATAAAATATAAAGGTAAAATAAAATAAAACATGAAACGAAATCTATGAAGCGGGCAGCGAATTCAAATGAATTTACATGAACGGGAAATTTTTCAAGAATGATTTAAAATATTTTCGAACCAAGATAGCCAGACTGCAAAATATGAAACCAAAGGCGCAAATCGAGGTAAAAGCGTAAATAGAGGGCTTTTGTATTAAAGTGAGTTCGTACTGCAGTACTGAAGTACGTTTGATTAGTTAGTTACCAAGGTGGCGTCCGAAAATGGATGTGTGCAAGGTAATATTATACTGGATAATTTAAAGAAGTTGACAATCAATAATTTTAGAAAATTAACTTTAATTTAAGGAGAAAAAAAATAAAATAGAAAAGACAAAGAAATCTGAATTGCCTGTTTTGTATATAATTTTAGCCACAGATTAACCCGAAATGGATTTGCACATAATAAAAATTATATGAATTATCAAAGAAGTTTATTAGTAGATTTATTTACAATAATATACAATTAGCTAAATGATTTTATATAGAATTTAATTACTTTAGTGGGTATCCGTTGCTTTTTATTAAATTTTGAAAGAGTTTGTCTCTTTGCTTTTTGTGTAAGTAAACATTGCTACATATTCCTTTAATTCCATTCATTTGATTAAAAATGGTATTTAAATAGATGTTCTTAAAAACATTAGAATTCCAAGTAATTAGTTTATTTATATTAAAATTAAAATAATTTATTTCTTTGTATAAGTCAACAAAGCAGATATTTTCTTCTTTTATAATATCCAAATACAAAAAATTAATATAAACATCATGATTACGAAGCAAGATTAATTTCTCGGGGTAAATATTATTTAATAAAATAATATAAATAGTATAGTAAAAATTTCCCGCTCATGTAAGTTCATTTGAATTCGCTGCTTGCTTTATAGATTTCGTTTTATGTATTATTCTGTTTTTTCTTTGCATTTTATTTTTTTATTTTTTGTTTTTGCGTGATATTTTTACTTAATGCTATTTTTGAAATTTTTTTGTAAATTTTTTGAGTGCTCCTCACACTATTGTTTTAATATATTTTGCTTTGCCTATATTGATACAATATTAGAAAGCACTCCTTTTTGCAGATATAATCGTGTGAGCTGATGAAAAGATTATATCTTTTATTTTCCGGATTTTTATAATTATTTTTCTTTTTTTTGGAATGTTTTTCCGGATTATATAGATATATATGATTATATAGGTAGTTATATATAAAATAAAAAGATTACATTTTCCATTTATTATTTTTATTTACTGAGAAACGAATAAAACCAAATAATAATTTATTTTTAATGACAGGATATATGTTCTGCATATTTTTGACTGGCAAATACTTTACTGCAGAAGTATCTAGCCAAATAAAGGCCTTTTAAATATTCAACTGTATCAAGTTTTCCAGATCTGAAAAAGATTTCCGGATTTATTTTGGAAAATTCTTGGAAAGTTTATCGCTCGTTAAAGGCAATAAATTTTCCGACATCTTTGTTATATTTTAAAAGTTTTGCTACTCCATAAACATTTATAATTAACTTTGAATAAGGGATTTATTCAAATGTCATTTCCATTTTTTCCCCCCAGACATTCCAATTATTCATTGTTCTCCTCCTAAATGTGATACAGGATGTCAAATTGATTATAATGCCAGACCATGTCCCATTTGTGTTTGTGGAATTCAAGGTGAGTATTTCAAATGAACTGTTTCCCTTGAACCATGTCAATTTAGTAGTGTATTTAATTTAGTCATTTAGTAGTCAAGTATTTTGAAAAGCAGATTTAATTCCAGCGAATAAATTAATTGAAGTGTCTATATTAGCAGACGTGTTTTTTTTTTTGTATTTTGAAAGCTTTTAAGTCGAACATATAGCTGATAATGTGAAAATTAATGAAAAAGAATTACCTTTTAAATTCCCTACGAAACGGAATTAATTTTCAAATTGCTAAAGGAAGGATTATTTTAAGCTGATTCTATAAGTATTACAAGTATTTTGGTAACTTTTGCTGTTTCAATGAGCCCCAATTATACTAGTATAAATTTTTAATGTCGTACTGTGTTAATAGGTTTTTTGCTACCTGTCAAAAATGATGAATACAGAAGAAAATCGCTTAATTGTGGTAAATTTTGACTATCATAGCATCACGTGAAATTATATTGAATATAGTTAGTCTTTGTTTTGGGGAGATGAATTTCTAAAAGTTAGTTTGTTAACTGAGTTACTCTACTGCACTATTAACTGAGTTACTCTACTGCAGTTACTCTACTCTACTGCACTACAAAAGTTAGTTAGTTAACTGAGTTACTACACTAACTCTGAGTTAAGTTTCCTCTCCATTTCTCTAACAATACACCCTAATAAAAAATTTGCTAGCGTTGTTTTTATAATTTTTATTTTCTAACCTAGACAGATTGATTTTGTTAAGTAATTAATTTGATCATTATTTATTTGCTTCCTTACTGAATTCCTTAATTTTTTATAGTATAGAAACTGAAATATGTAAAGTTATATTTTAACAACATCCTGATTTTTAAATAGTAAATGTTTATTGCGTCTTTCCAAAATTATTTTAATGATTCAATTTTCACAATTCTCACTTCACATACTAGTTATTTATTGAATATCTTTATAAATAATTTTAAATTTTCTGACCGATTTTTCAAAATGAACTATCATTAGTATGTATTTTATGTAATATAAACTTTTTATTCAGCATAATTTTTTAAATATTATTAGCTTATTTGTCCCGATAAATACAAAAAGTTTTTCAAATTTACATTTTCTTACAAGCGGCTTCTGAGGAAGTAAAATAAGGTAATATTTCATAAATTTTAATTTCTTGTCAAATTTAATCACTATTTATTTTCTTAATTTTTTTATTTCTATTCTGATGTTCTAGTAAGTTTCTTAGCATAATTAAGTGTAGCAGCAATTCAAATAACTACAAAAAAAATTAATAGTAAATTTCCGGAGTTTCAACTCTACTGTATACATTCATTCTTAAAATGACCTCAAGTTAGAGCATGCTTTAAAAAATTAAACTTAAAAAAATTAGTTATGCAACGAATATTTGTTATCTGGCACAAAGGCTGTATATTTGGTTTGGCCTAATAATAAAGCAAAACCGAATAGATGGTTACTAAAGTTATTTACATTTGTAATCATTTCAACTGATGTATTTTAAAAAAACAGAGCTATCAAATTTTATGTTTCTATTTCACAATAAGAAATTTTAAATAATTTTTAAATTAACAGTAAAATTTTGTTTTAAGTATTAAGTACAGATTTATTTTCTAATTATAATAGTTTTATGAATGAATATAAATTTAATAAGCCTTTGATTTTAATAAAGAGGTTGCAATATACATTAACAATAAAAGAAATAGTTTTATTTAAAATTAAAAAAAAATTTAAAGCAAAACAGTAAGGAAAATTGAAAGCAACTGAAAATAAAGCCATTTAACCCTAGATAAGATCACGGAATATTTTTTAGGAAATCGTATTTATTTCCTGATACAACTTAAACATAACTGCAAAATCATTACTTAATTCCTTCCTTCCTCAATGGCACGACAGCCCCGGGTGGGCCCTGGCCTTCTCAATCAACTTCCTCCAGGCCTGTCTCTGCCTGGCAGTTGTCTTCCAGTTTGAGACTTTTAAGACTGAAAAGTCTCTTTCCACGCAGTCGGCCCATCTCAGCTTTGGTCNGTAATTTAATTTTTTTCTCTTTAATATTAATTTTAGATTAATTTTATTTATTAAATAAATCTTAATTTAATAATTTTATTTCTAAGTTTTAAATTTGAATGACAAAACATGCTCATCGCCCCCTACCGCCCAAAACATACCCAACGCCCCCTTACTGCCCAAAACAAGTTCACCGCCCCTCAGCATATTCCCAACGCCCCCAGGGGGGCGGTATCGCCCCCGTTGAGAACCAATGACATAAAGTAATCAAAAGAGAACAGAAAAAAAACAGAAAAGTATAAAAACTGTTATACCAACGGAAGCAAAAGACTCTGTAAGCAAGACCTGGCAGACATGTGAGATTTCGAAAAAATTCGAAACGTTTATAACCAGTTAAGTTATCATTGTAATTTTGTTTTTGAAATTGTGAATGTTTTTATATTGGTTTGAAAAATCGCATTTTATAACTTCTGTTTTAATCATGGTATGTCAAGTAACATTTGATAATTATTATTATTTACGTTTCTTGTGAAATTCATTCATTGTTCTTCTCTAGTGGTTATACTGTTTCTTCTTATGCCCTCATTTTGCTGGAGGGGGGTGGAATACTCTATGGCTGATCACGAAAATTTTAATTTTCGTTTAGCCGGAGCATGAAAACACTGTCATCTCAGAGCAGTACGATCAGAAAGTCTTTTTCCGAAGAAGTGGCGCAGAGCCGCGATGGCTCAGGAGATAGAGCGGTTGCCTTCCAATGAGGCGAACCGAGTTCGAATCCCAGTCGATACAAATTCCGCATCCGGCTCGCACCGACCACAGTGCTGACGTGAAATATCCTCAGTGGTAGACGGATCATGGGTTAGAGCCCCCTTGTCATCAGCCTAACGGTGGGAGGTTCTCCTGGTCTTCCTCTTCATGTAACGAAAATGCGGGTTAGCTCCCATGACCGGGATTGTAACTAAATGGTTAGGTGACTAACTTGACAAATTCACCATATCATTAAATTATTGAAAAACAGCTATTTGTGAAACTATTTGAATATCATTTTTGATTATAATTATTAAAAAAAAATTAGCATGAAATTAAAATATTTAAGAAAAATGTACAGATTTCAAGACACGCGATAGTGTGTTCACAATAAGGAAGCGTGGGCATTAACTGACAGTTTTCGTCATGTGTGCACTGCATCTTTATGATGAGCCTTAAAGTTTGTACTAATATTTATAGGACATTCTATGTATCACGTTGGAATTAGTTTTCGTATGATTATTGTCAGGAATTTTTATAAAGCATGGCTAACAAAAGTAAGAAAAATAATGAATGCAGTATCATGAACGTCACGTGTAAATTATTTTTTTATTTTGATATAAAAAAAAATTTAAAACAGAGAACGAGATTGGCGTTTGTCTGGAAGAGATAAGTTCTTAAATGCACTCTATATGGTTCAATAAATAATAATTATTTTTTAATTGCCTCTCTATATTTCCAAAAGCCTCAAATCAAATTTTGGTGATTTTGCTAGTCTGGGCCCAGACAGATATTCAAATTTCCTCACAATTATAGTATATTTAATTTATTTATGAATAAAACAGACTAACGAAAAAATCCTTTGCTAATAAATTATTTCAGATAAGCCTACTGTTCTTTGTTCACCTCCAAAGTGCGAGTCTGGTTGTCATATTGACTATAACACTAAACCTTGTCCCAGTTGTATTTGTGGAACAGCACCAAGTAAGTTGAGTCTAAATAACATTTGAAAAAGTGTTTATAAACCACATTTCTGAACCCTCTATGCACCGAGTGAACTTTTAAGTCCCACTAATAATATTTCCATACAATATATTAACTAATATATATAATAATACACTAATGATATAATACATACACTGATAATATAAAATAATGTACTAATATACTAATAATATTTGCAATATACAGCATTGAAACGGAACAAAATATTCTACTGGGACTTTTCTGTCCCTGTAATATAACTTTCAAAATATTATTATTTATTGACACGGCAGCTTACACAGCTTACGAAGCTGAACATGGCATATGGACTATTTAGCAGTTGATATTTCGTTTCTAAATGGTAATTTTATGAACAATGTTTGTTCGTAAATTCTCAGCTTTCTATATCTATCGATTTCGCAGTAAGATCTTTCATATTTTTTTATTGATTCGTTAATATTTTCAACTACTTTTATAACAAAGTATTAAATGTTTAACTTTAAGAAGAAAAAAAATTATTTGCTGATTTTTTCTTGGGGCTACGAGTTTTATATTCATGCATTTAATATTTTATAAATTGTATCAAGAATAGTGCTGACTTATTTTATGTGATTTTGTTCCATTTATTAAAATATTTATGCTAAGTTTTGCTTTCTCTACTAAGTGATAGTACAAATATCTTATGCATGCCTATTATCATATTTCATTATTTAATTTATTTTGTTATTTCATTTATTTTATTTATTTTTTTATGGATATTTAGGGTCTAAGGCGTAACAGCTGAGCTTGTCAGGCATTATGTGGGTTTAAATTCATTAGACCCTAACACTTCTGAATACACAGTATTCAGAAATATATACTTGCAAAGATAAATATTGCAACTGAGCTTAATAATAAAAAAATTAATTAATTCCATTATATATGTGGTTTACATTTTAATACTCCTAATTGATATTTACAAATGAAAAATGCATGTATGCTCTTTATGTTTTTTTGATATAATTTTTGCCTTCAAAATATCATTAGTTGTGTATCAAATCCTGATTGGACTTTAAAGGTTAAAAATTATATAAAAAAAAATTAAAGTATAATTGAATATTAATAAAATGTTTTTAAAAATTAAAATAATCATCTTTTATGGGGAGCATTTTTTTAAAAATAATTTGATAAATAAAGGGTTAACTGTCCTAGTTCCATTTATGGAACTGACCTTATAAATTAAATGATAAAATAGAAAAAAAAATACATGTTTATCAAGTGTTTAAAAGAAAAAATAAGTTTAAATATTTTTTTTAGATAAAACCATGCAAGTGTAGCCCGGGCAAGAGTTTCACATCTTTAGATGTCACAAAAATTTAGTTTATTTTTCCTCTTTTTCAGTACATTCAATAAAAGTACTTTTCTATAATTATTTTTTTCTTAAGTTTTGAATTTGATTTAATTATATCTAAAAGTTGCCTAAATTAATTTATTAATTTAATTCTATTTGAAGATAAAAGAATGAAATATTACGCTTGTTGTTATCAAGGAACGATAAAAAATAGTTTTACCCTTTGAAGCAGAATTCCATTTGAAATCTGTGCTCCATTGATAATCGCAAAATATTCGGCATTTTAAACTCAAGATTTGCCCCATTCAGACAAACAGACAGAGACGGAAGCTCGTTAAATAAATCATGGTCATAACAAACAAGAAAAAACAGGTAAAACAAGAAAAAAATATTGTGTAGATATTTGCAAATCAGAATAAACTGCTTCTAAGGTTGCAAAAAATAATTTTATGTACTTTACAAACTTTCTTCTAAAGTGAATTTATTTCAGTTCTTCCACCTGTTCTGTGCTCACCTCCAAAATGCGAATCAGGCTGTCATATTGACTACAATAGCAAACCTTGCCCAAGTTGTGTTTGCGGAACTGCACCAAGTAAGTTTAAGTTAAATAAATAAAATATTGTTCCTTCTTAGTAATGCTTTAAAAGCTTGAATCTGAATTTACTCTAACACTGATACAATTCTAGTAATATCTTTTATTATATTTTATTAGTTCAGTGTTCTCCTCCTAAGTGTGAATTAGGGTGCGAAGCAGATTATAATGCTCAACCATGTCCAACTTGTGTCTGCAAAGAACAGGGTAAGAATTTAATATTTTTTGTATGGGTGCAATTTATACCGCCTTATAATAATACTGATATTTCAGAACTATTTAAATAAATACCTAACCTTTTAAAATTTATGAAAGCACACAACTTTCTGTTTTTTTACTAACCCCATACATTAAGATTGTTACTCATTATTTACAACATCACCTGATATGTTTTAATTTATCGATCTGATCACCTGATATGTTTTAATTTATCGATCTGATCACCTGATATGTTTAAATTTATCGATCTGATCACCTGATATGTTTTAATTTATCGATCTGATCACCTGATATGTTTTAATTTAATGATGTTTTAATTTATCGATCATATGAACTTAGTTCAAAGAAATTCCGAAACGTGTCTGAAAAGATGGGGCAGCGACGATGCATGCAGTTTTCAAAAACGTATTTTAATATTTCGGAAACCTCTTGTGGGGCTAAGCTACTAACAACGTCATCTATCAAATGGTATCTCAAGATAGATTCGAGTTAACATGTCTTATATACTAGTGAATTGGAATTTAAAAATTGTAGTGGTGACTACGCTACATTACTCCCCCACCAGAATTTTATCTGTGATAGAATTCGATGAATGGATACCACAAGTTGATTCATTGCTGTTTTGCGAGAGGCCGGTAGAGCTGTATTTAGATCATCGTGTTTCAAGTGCTGGTCGTGAGAGTTATATCAGGATCACGGTTGTGGGCGTGGTCGCTCTTGTGTAGCAAGTTATGTGTGATCGAGACTAAGTAGCAACAGCGTGGAGAGGACAATGTCGCAGTGACAAACAGCTAGTCAACTGCTCACTGATTCACCCATCTGGGGCTAGGCTACTGACGATGTCAACCGTAATTTAAGAAAAGGCAACTCCTGTTAGAACCGAGTTAACATGTCTTATAAACTAATAAATTGAAATTTATTAGTTGTAGTGGTAGCTACGCCGCTACACTCTGAAACTGAATCAGCGATTCGGTTTTCCACTTTTGAAAATTAAAGAAATGTTTCAAAATTGATCGGGGACATGATATTAAAAGAAGTTCTCTGAGATTTTTGTCGAGTCGAAATTAGTTTCCGAAATTTTTTATAGTGCAGTTGGCAAATATGATCTATTTTGCCATCCTGAAATTAGACAAAAAAAAAAAAAAAAAAAAAAAAAAAAAAAAAAAAAAAAAAAAAAAAAAAAAAAAAAAAAAAAAAAAAAAAAAAAAAAAAAAAAAAAAAAA